GTCAGAAGGGTCATTTTTCTTCCAGTGTCAAGTCATACGCATGCACCTTAGCCGAACACGCATCGCGGGAACATGAGGGCAGGGGTTTCGGCATCATGAGACCAGAATGGTAACAGGCGCTTCTTCTTCGTTTGCCTCTTGGGCATATGTGCCTGTGTTCCCCAAGCAGGAAAACGGGGTACAGATCTGATGGCTAACTCCTGGAGCACGGAGTTCGTGTCGTCTCCGCGTCCGATTTCGACAGGGCGACGCAGGAGCAGGTCTGAAGGCAGCCCCGTGACATGTGGTCGACTTCTGTTCGATGCTGTTTCCTGGTTTTACCTGCTGCCCGCGGCGCAGCAACAGGCACCGACAACGAAGGCAAGAGTTCACCAGTACTGGAGGCAAGGGCACAATGCATTCCGAACACCGATCCAGGCTTTGCAATTGGAGTAGTACGTGGGACATGATGTCTTCGCTTGCAAATTGTGCTGCCGTCCTTTCAACGAGATGACCGTATATCTTGACGTAGCAGATTTATTCGTGTTGTCGTCTGAGATTCCTGCTGTTCCCTCCTTCTTTCTCTGTGTCTGCTTGATGTCTTATGTGATTCGTATCGTGGTGCTCATGATACTGGCTTACGAGTGAGAGAAACTTCAGCGTGAACATGCAAATTGAAAAAAAGAAAAAGAAGAAGTATGAGTCGCACGCAGTCTTCGCAGTCTACCAGCTATGACAACGTCGAAACGAACCAACAGAAGACACTTCAATCCTAGGTGTCTTTCGGAGCCTTTCCTCCAACACGGTCATCGTAATACAGATGCCAACTGCTGCCACCTGGAAATAGCTCCGCCGATTAGCTCGACTCGTTGCGACACGAAATGTCGATCTCTTCGCAATCGCTTTCGCAACGTGAGGCCCCTGCGCCCCACCCCACGATTTCAACGCACTGCATACCCACGTACACAGGCAAGTTCGTCAACACAAACCGCAGCAGGCAACTCATCGGCGTCTCTGATGACGTTCCAAGTCCTGGCGCACGTGGCTGGCTGCCCATCACGAGCTCGGCAACAGCAACGTCTATGATGCAGATAGTCGGACTTCGGGGAACGAGAATGCCGTGCCGTACGTTCGGGGCTTCGAGGGGGAGGGACTATGTGATCGGGACGACGGATTGCGGACGGAAT